TGTATGTCCAATCATAACTCATTAACTTCATGACCAATTGGCCTCCAATTTTGATAAGTGAACCCGGGTCACTGCTTAATGTTTATCTGTGTTTAGTGTAAATGTGTGTTTAGTGTTATTCTGTGTAAATGGTCATTTTGTACACAGTGTTTAATGTTTATCTGTGTTGTGTTATTATCAGTGTTAATCAGCGTTTTGTGTTATTTTGTGTTGTGTGTTTATCTGTGTTGTGTGTTTATCTGTGTTGTGTATTATCTGTGTTGTGTGTTTATCTGTGTTGTGTGTTTATCTGTGTTGTGTGTTTATCTGTGTTGTTTGTTTATCTGTGTTGTGTGTTTATCTGTGTTGTGTATTTATCTGTGTTGTGTGTTTATCTGTGTTGTGTTTTTTCTGTGTTGTGTGTTTATCTGTGTTGTGTGTTTATCTGCAGTTGTGTATTTATCTGTGTTTAATTTTAATCAATGTTCAGTGTTTATTTGTATTTAGTTTCTATTTTTATTTAATGTTAATCTGTGCTTAATGTTAATCTATGTCAACTGTTTATCTATGTCAACTGTTTATTTGTACGTGTCAACTGTTTTATCTGTTTCAACTGTTTATCTATGTCAACTGATTATCTGTAATTAGTTTTTATATATATTTAGTTTTGATCTCTTTTTAGTTTCTATCTGTATTTATTAATCTGTGTTTGGTGTTAATCTGTGTTTGTTGTTTTTCTGTGTTTAGGTTTTTTCTGTACTTATTGTTTATCTGAGCTGTGTGTTTATCTGTATTTTGTTTTTATCTGTGTTTGTTGTTTATCTTTGTTTAGTGTTAATCTATGTTATATTTTAATCTATGTTAAGAGTTAATTTGTGTTTATTGTTTATCTGTGTCTAGTGTTAATCTGTGTTTGTTGTTTATCTGTATATGTTATGAATCTGTGTTTTGTCTTACTTGGGATTTAATTTCAAGCCATTTTTTAATTCAAGAGCGACATTTATGATCCACAGCTTTACTCTTTAACCCATTATCTGAGTAATAATGAGAAAGATCTCATAGCAAAAAAAAACAGCAATTTTACTATAACTGAAAACCCATAATTGAAAGGAAATAATTTTCAGCAAGAAAAATAAGGATATATTAAAATTAATTTCCTAAATATGCAGAAAAGGAGGGAAGTCTTAAACTTAAAGAGACTTGAGAGTTAATTTCAAGCCACTTTCGAATTTATGTTTATGATCCACAGCTTTACTCTTTAATTCATAATCTGAGTAATAATGATGAAAATATCGCCGTTTTTCTATCAGGAAAATTTTATTCATTGTCTCTCCATAGCAAAAAAACAAAAATTTACTATAATTACTAAACTTTCCAATTTAATATCGTTTAAAATTGCATTTTATTTATGAATCTTACCTAAAATGCAACATTATGGTGTTTTTTTTTATTCGCTAATGTGTCTGTAAAAAGTCTGTAAATTAGTTTAACTTTAAAATTATGATGTACACATGAGGTTTTTGATTGAATTTGTTTATTTTTATTATTTGCAATTAGACTACTTTGAATCCATGCAAACCATTTTATATGCCATAAAACATGTGACCAGTTAAGAATATTATGTTTTCAAACAATTTTTGCGCAAGTTTATTTTCGTTTTTTTCCTGTAAATGGGTCTCTTATTTCAAGTGACCATTCATACATGGATGGCAATGCCCGATTTAAAACAGTATCTTTTAATGTATTACTAATGTTGAAGATTTCATTGTTTTTCTAGACTTAAAAGAATTTATTTGTGATGATTTTCTAATGTTTTCCTGCAGTAGAAATGCACAAATCACTTTTTGCACAATTGAAAATCAGTTTTTCAAAATTATAAACATTGATATCTAAAGCATAATTGATCAGACAAATCTTTAAGAGTTACCCATGTAAATCGTACATAACGTTCTATAAATAGAGAGTCACTTTAATTTAAGAGTACAGACCCTTTAACTTATCTATTATACAACCCAAGAAATTGAATATTTCACCTATGTATAAAAGTAAAAATAAATGTATGTGTAATCTATTTAATCTATTAAATAATGTTTGTTACCAGCTTTGTTACTCTTCATATAGGGTAGAAACTTTGTTTTAATTAGATATTCATTAAGAGGATTTGAATAAATATATTTGTTTTCAATTGTGTTGAATTAGCTGCAGAAGAATTATCATCAATCAATCAACAGGGGTCTAATATATTTTGTAACTTAATAGTAAACTGATTACTCTCCTCAACTTCTAATCACATTACTGTATCTTTGCAACTTGAATATTTAGATTTGAGAAGAGTAATCAATTCTTTACTTTTTAAACTCTAAATCTTGATTTATTAATGGATAAAAATAGATTAAAATCCATCTTTTAAAACGTGTCTAGATGGATTAACATGCAACCTTTAAAACGGTTCTAAAGTGTGTTAGAAAAATGGAGTTTTTTTAACCAATATAAAAACGAGTAAGAACCGATTATAAACCGCATTTTACGCATGCAAAAATGGGTTTTAAACCGTGTTAGTTTAAACCCACGTGCTGAAACGGAAATTAGTTTGGACATAGACGGTTGAGTTTTAAGTATTATTATGGATTAACAAATCTCAACCAGGCTTAACTTTCCATTTCTAAGGACCACACAGTCCAATGAAATTGCTACACAGGCAATTTCTCAACCAGGCTTCAATCCCTGGTTATAGATGACACACAGGCCAAATCTTAACCAGGCTACACTCCCTGGTTCTAAAGGACACACAGTCCAATGAAATCGCTACACAGGCAATTTCTCAAATCATATAATTCAACGACCTTTCTTTTAAGCTTACTTAGGCTTCTGATAACGTAATCAAAAGCAAAGTCTCATTCAACTAACTTTATACAATAGCTTAGGTTACAAAGTTAACAGGAATTAATGTAAATCAATTCCTACGATGTTAATACTATCACATGATTAAGATCATCACAGTTAAAGTTTAAGGTACATATATAAAGGATTAAAAAGAATAGATATAACGCAGATAATCTTCTCTTCCCATATTTTCAGCGTAATTTAAGTATGTTGCATGATTTGGACTTATCATGTTAAGTATTTGATTGAAACACAGTCTAAGTTTAAAACATTAAATCATTTATGACGTACAATGTACTGAAAGTTTACAGAATATCATGTTTACCTGCTTTCTGCTACAAATAAGGGGGAGGAGAACGGTAAAAAAGAAAGGTTTTATTTATATATCCATTATTTTCTACATACTTCATTATGTCCAGTAACTCCACATATTCTTATAATCTATTCTTGGTTTCTGTTGTAACTTGAGTACAGTTCTTCCTGAGTACACTATTGTAGACCTTCTTTGGAACCTGATGACAGGCCTCTCTTGATTTACTGTAACATCTCTGTCTAGGAACCAATTTTTAAATTTTTCCTGTAACATCCTGGCATGATTCATAGTGTACAGGGCTGCATTGAGAAATGTTGACAGACTCGCATTTTTGTACAGATACATAGTCAGTATACCCACTGAGAACCTCACATTACTCTTCTCTCGGCTTATCCCAAGATCTTTCCTTAGGAACACTCTGGCAAACCATTTTGGGAATACTCTGGTATACTGGAGTAGGTTTCTCCCAACCTTTTCCTCAGTAACCTGTTGATAGGGCTGTTTAGGTTCATCCCAACCTTTTCTTTTATTATCTTCTTGCACTTCATAGAGATCACTTCCTCACCATGGATATCATTGCAGACAGGATTGTTAACAAGGTTGCATTCTCTAACCTAGTATCTTGTTTGGGAACCTGTCTACATTGCTGGATATTTTTAACCTTGGACTGGTGATCAGTCCCGATGACGAACTTCTTCTCATGATTATTCTTCTTCCCAGACTTCTGCATGCTATTTTACTCCTTCTTGGGGTTCTCATAGTACTTGCTCCTTAACACCACCTGGAACAGTTTACCGTTCATGGTCTCCCATGGTCTCCCACTGGTTCTCTTGCATTTATATAAATATAGTGTCAACATTTGTTTTTGATAAATTGTTTACTTTTACTTGAACAAACCCTTTATCTATCAAATATTACTTGATGCTTTCCCTGATAAATCATTTTTTTATGCTTAGTTTAAACGCTTGGTATTAATTTTTTTTTTTATAGATATTTGATTATAATGGCAAAATATAATTGTGTCATTTGGCAATGTTAGAACTATATGATATTTACTTATATTTGTATTCTAGAATCTTGTAAATGCTTGTTTGAAAATGTTCTGAAGATTTAATTTTCAAGCAGAAATCTATAATACCAATCTTTGATAAAAGCACTTTTCTAATGTTAGAAAGTGTTTAGTATTTATGAAAGTTTAGCAAGAGACAAATAGAATAGAATAGAATAGAATAGAATAATATTTAAGTTGGCAACAATAGCTGTCTTCAGTAAAAAGTGAAAAACAACTAGATTTCAAAATCTCAAAATCATTCCTTCAAAATGAACAATTTCATAGAAATTTAAAGATTGAATTTGCGCTCTTGCTGAACAAAAAAGCACTTTAAAAACGTCTGAAAGGTCTCAATTGAATCCTAAAAAATGTCTCTACAATAATTCATTCTCAGTTCAACTACCATGTCTAGACAGACACTTACTTTCAGGGTTCCTTTTAGAATTTAACTTGAAATTTAATATAACTTTCTGGAATAGCTATATACTTTTACTTTATAATTCTCTAAGATAGACGAAAACATGTTATGAAGTCTGTAAAACACATGGACTTTCCTGCCATAAAAAATTTTAAAATTCAATTTATAATGGATTATGGAAGACCTGTTAAATAAGTGGGAATACAATATTTTGAAAAATTTAGGCATTACAGGCACTTACACAAGCACTTTGTACAGGCATGACAAAACTGCTTTCCTTATCTCTACTTTTATGATATGCTTGGCTGCAAGTTCAAAGCAGATACCCCTTTATCTAACATCATTTTTATCAAAGATCATCTTTACATTTTATTTTATAAAGCTTACATAGTTGTTTCCAAAGTTATAAACTCATAAAATACAATAAGTTTTATTTTAATTAGTTTATGTCAGGAATTAGAAATAAAATATACAAATTTAACTTTTAATGCCAAATTTTAATTAATGAATAATATTTAAACACAACAAGTTCTTCTCCTCAGTAATGAAAACAATCATAGGGTCCAGAGATAGCGTACGAATCCCTCCTCTCATCATCACAAGCATACTTAAAAATGTAAAAGTGTAAAATTGTGCCTTGTGAACCATTATCTCAGCAACCATGAGAAAGATATTGTTAAGTTTTCCATCTGGAAAAGAGTTAAATTCTGACAATGTTCTTCTTTGTCTCTGTTACATAAAATTTGACAGCTTTTTTCACTTTATTCTACAAGGTTAACTCAGGGGGCGGAAACGTCATGGGGGTGTGTCTGTACAAAAAATCTTATTGTTAAGCAAAGAATTATCAAAAACTAATTTAGCTCAAAATATTAGAAAAGCCCACGGAATTTTAATATGCAAAATTTGCACACCCTAAGTAAAACTAAAACTAAAATTAAAAATGTGCAATCTTTTTATAGTTTTACAACATTTCTAAATTTCTTTTCTGAAATATTACTTACCTTTAAATAGCATTTCCTTGGCTCAAGAGTAAGTTCAGGAATTTTCCAAGTCCAGAACAAACAACCCTCAAAAATAAAATAATTTAGGTTGAAAATATATTTTTATTTAAAATATTCCTCAACAAAATTTATAAGATAATCTTTAATTTTTAAACCTACATGATGGTCCCTACATTGAATTGCACACTCCTCCCAAGTACTGGAAAAGAAAACACATTTTAATAGATATATTTTATAATATACAAGCTCTATTAAATCTAAAAGTAATTAATAATGTTTTACTTGGTATTGTGTCCTTCTTCCACATCATTATGATAACAATCTATCCCATAAGCTGGGCATGCCATAGTACTGTTAGCCCCATCTTTAGTCTTGGTCAACTCTATATAAATATACAGTAAATATACAACAAAATAGAGAATTTATAATAATTGAATATAAAATAATATGATTATGTGGTACAATGGTTCAAATAGATTATTAAGCACAGAATGCAAAATGAGTGAAAACACAAATAAAATTGCACTAAATGCTTAGTATACTATAATTTAAAAGCATTAACTAATATTTATATATACAACTGTACTGCAGATTTTATTGTATGTATTTTCCAGTGCCAACTATTTTAATAAATAATTTATTTGCTAAAATGAAATCTATAATCATCAAAATTTAAAATTTATTATTTGCAAAGTTTTAACTCTATTTCAGCTGGACATAACCCAAAATGTATTTGTCGATGGTAAAATTTATTTACTGTTCTAATTAGCACAACAACTTCACTTTAGGCTTAAATAGGAGCTTTTTTACCTGCCTGAGTTTTCAGATATACTGTCTAAATACCTTATTTTATCTTTATCTGACTAAATCTATGTTTAGACCTACTTCCACCCATTGGATTTCAACATTTGAAAATGCTTTAAAAATGTAAAATTGATAGTCTCTCTTTTTTTGTTTTTGCACATTTTTTGCTTAAAAAGTTAATTTGAAAAAAAATAATTTTTTTTTGCTAAGGAATTGAGTCTAAGCCACAAACCCAAATTTTAAAATCCTAATATCTTTTCAACCTGAATGTCAAAACTTTTAATATTTCAAACTTAGATTATTTGATCTAACAAAATTTATAGTTTGAAATATCAAAGGGCCTCAACATTGGGTTGTAAAGAAATAAGTTTGTGGCAAAGACTCAAATTCTTTGCAATTTCTATTTTTGTAGAATATTGAAGTAGAGCCCAAGTTTTATACAATTATGACAAATACCAAAGATAACTTTGCACTATTGGCCCAAACTGTGTCAGGTCTAGGCCAAATTACAGTTTGGAACTTTATTATACCCTGGAATAGCTATTAATGCAGTAGATGCAATTCATATTTATTTTATTTGTAAAAATTTAAGATCTAATGTAAAAGGTTTGATTGAAAACTAAATTGTTTAATGGCTTTAATAATGTTTTAACCCTATTCCTGCTGGGAAGGGGGGGTTTTACATAACTCAAAAAGAATTAGTTTGAGTCTGTTGAAGTTTTGATGTGACTTTTCTTAAATACCCAAAGCACTCCCTAAACCCGGGTTTTATACTTTATGCCTGAGTTCTCAGGCACACTGCCTGAATGACTACTATTTCCTGAAACAAACTAAACCTTTGTTTTGACCCACTTTAAGTTGTCTGATTTTGATAACTTAGAGCTTTTTGAAAAACCTATGACATAAGAAAACGGATTGCACAAGTTTTGCAAAGAAATTTTTTCAAACTATTTGCCAACAACCTGTCAAAGGAAATTTGCACATTTTTTCAATTTTCTTAATCATACATCAGGTTATTTAAAATTTTACAAACTTTTTTGCATATTTACAATGGCAGGTCAAGGGATTTTCAAAATGTATATTTTATCATTTTTAGGTCAATTTTTTGCATACATTTTTACAATATAACAAGGTTTTGGAAAAAATCAATTTTTGCAAATCTGCAACTTTTTTGCATATTCTAAAAGTAGAGCACAAGAGATTTTTAATAATGTATCATTTGTCATATTTTGACTTCAAACATTGGATTTAGAGGGGGGGGGGGCAAATTGACCGCCCCCCCCCAGCATATCCTGGTTTTTAAGTACCTCAGCATGGGTAGGGTTAAATAAAAAAATACCTTCAATCAGTGGGGAAGCCAAAGTTGCAGCAAAAGCAAGGCATAGCAAAATGATTATCTTAAAATCCATCTTTAGAATCTTTAGAGAAACTGAACCTGAAGACAAAATTGAATTTCTTTTATAGGAGCTATGATGTGCAATCAGAATGCTTTATCTGTATTTACCAGTATTCACCAGTATGTATCAGTTGAAAACAGTAGGTCTAAAAGTCTATAAAGTTTATCTTCATAAATGTATTTTATTTAGAGTCTGAAAAAAGAAAAATAAATGTTATTGATTTTTATGCTAAACATAACATTCAAATAAAAATACTTAAGACTTATGAATATTCTGTCTACAATTTTATCTTTTTTTGTAAAGTTTTTGGGACACTTCCAACTTTGGGAGGTTATACAAAACATTAGAATCCTTAACTTAAGTAAACAAAATAAAACTTCTTATATTAGTACTTTTTTAATCCATCTGTTAAAACGTTATATTTACGTCAGAGAGTAATCATATAACTTTTCATATTTAAATATTAGAAATTTGTAGAAGCAGTAACATTAATGTAATATGACTGAATTATTGTTAAATTCTAATTTTTATTTTTATTTAACCAAAATTATAATGACAAATTTAAAATTGCAAAATTGACCCCAACATATTTATGTCCTATTTTATGCCTTTAGCATTTTTGAAAGATATAAAAAATCGCACCCTGTGAACATGAGGCAGAGCAATTGTGCAGTGCAATCGGACCAATTTTATGTAACAAGCTATTAAATAATTACTAGCAAAGCTATTTGCTTTGTAACAGCATTAAATGCACTTCAGTATTGCTTTAATATCGTCTTTCAAATCCACAGTTTTTTGGTTATCACTGTACATTTTGAAATTATTTAATTTTGCAGATGATCTTCACAGCTGTTATGTTGACAATAAACATTTTGGGAAATTTTTATTATTTTTTATTAGTTAAAGTTTCAGTCTAATAAATTTTTACTCAGGGTATTCTCATAAACTAATTGTAAGTGAAGTTAAGGAAAACTCTACATTTTTTCTCTCAGAGTCTTAATTTTTACCAAATCGAATTGAAATTATTATCAAAATGTTTCTAGGGTGTTAGGACTATGTGAACAAAAAGTTGTTGGATTGGGTCACAACCCTGCTCTGAATAAATGTTCTTGTCTCTAGGAGATGGATCTGATTAGTCGTTATTTTCTAGGACGTTTCTTTTCTTATTCCAAACCAATTTAAACCACAACGTCCTTGGACACAAAGTTCTGTTGTTGATGAAAATACATGCTTTAAGATGAAAAACAAGCTTTTTTTTGTTAGGCATTAACAAGTCGATTATGTACAATATAAGTCTTAAACAAATCCAAAGAGAGTTAAGAATAATTATATGCACCCCTGGAGTCTCATTTACATTTTGCTGGCTCTATTTTTACATTTAAACTGTAAATTTGTAAAATGCGATTTAGCACAACATTTTTTAGGCTTTTTTATCTTAATTTTCTATTCTTATATTAAATGAAGGTAAGTTTTGGATTAATGTTTATTAAGACTAACAGTCAAAATAACTATAGTTCTCAAATGTGATAAAATATGTTTCTTAATAAGTTCATATCAACATGATTAAGTTTTTATTTGTTTAAATGCTCTAAAACCCAATTGTGAACATCTGACTTTAGTTCAATCGGATATTAGTCCGATTGATATGGCATTGTATATGTGTAATTGTTATCAAAAGTAATTTTTATACAGTAGGGGTATCCAAAAAGAGATGATTAAGAAGAAAATTAAAAGTGTGTTCATTGGATTCTCAGATTAGGTAATCGGGATAAAGGAGATCTAATTCTAAAGTTTTTAACTCTGATCTTATTCTCAGATTTCTCATAATTTCTTGGAGGGAGTGTTTTACCTTTACTTTGTTTCCTAAAGATCATACTGTGGAGAGTAAGGTAGTAAACCTTCCTTTCTGGGAAAAAAGTTGCTAAAGAAAAATGGGTTCATTGTAAATTGTTTTTGTTTGTTTAATAATTCTATTCCTTATCACTTTTAAACAAATAGAATGACATCACCTATAAACTTCAAGCAGATTGACTCTGCAGAGTTACAATTAATATATCTTTACCAAATTAACCCTTTCCTGATTGGGCGATTTTGGCTATAAATAAACATAGCCCTTTGATTTTTCCGTAAAACTTTTATATTTTAACATTCAATATTTTGATATATCTTTAAAAATCCCATGGACAAAAAATGAAGAGGATTTAGAATATTTCTTATAGCGCAATGGCCTTGAAAAATTGGGCTATGAACATGAATTTAAACCATTTACCTATTCTATAAAGCCTTGTTCTAAGGGGGGCGTCCCACGCCCCCCCCCATCTATACATAGATTCAGACCCCCCAGCCTTTTTAGTGTTAAGGTGATATTATAGAGGACGTGAGTCAGACTCTAATGAAAACGCATAAATAACTTCCAGTATATATATTTCTTATAACTTATTAATAGAGGGTTCAGAATAATAGCTTCTGTCGAGATCACAACTGTAGAGGTTTTTTCAGTACTGTGCCCTGTTACCTGTATCCGTTCTATCTCATTCTGTTGAATCTTGTGGAACTTGTTTAACGCGGCCAGGCATCGTCTTTCACAATATGTTCAAAAATAATGTATAAACATGTATTAATGTTTTTTACAAGAAAATAAGATGTAACACAAATTACAAGTTAATATATACAGGTTAAAGGGGATGTGATATACTTCAAATAAACCTGAGGGATGTAATTAAGCTAATTTTATATTTATTAAACAACTGTAATTTATATCAGTTACAAATATAAATCTTTATAACAAAATTTCTCATAAGAATTTGAATTTTATTTTTGATCTAGAAAAAATTAAACAAATTTCATAAAAAGATTTACATTTTGAACTTTTCTTAAAACTAATTTGACTGTCCCAAAACTTTTACTCGCATTTAAAATCATAATTGATGGAGGGGGGGGGGAGCACACCGAACTAACCAGAGAGAGAAGCATTTGGTTTATTTTATTTGAAAGCAAACGTGTTTTCGTCTATAACTCNAACTTGAAACACATTCCTGATTTAAAATGCGTTCCCAACTTAGAACGCGTTCTTGAAAATAAGAACGCGTTAACGATTTTAACCGTTCTTTTCAAGCAATTCCCGTTTCGTTCCGTTCCGTTCTTTTACTAATCGTTCCAAAATTTGTAAGAACACGTTCTGAGCGTTCGTTTTTTTTCGGAACAATGGGATCGTTCTTGATCGTTCCGTTCGTTCTCGGGAAAGAACGATCGTTCCACCAGGAACGCGCCCAGCCCTAGGAGGATCATTTCAAACTGTGCATGTATAATTTATTCAGCAATATTTATTTATTTAAATATTGTAGCTTTAGCAAAATTATAATTTTTTTTCTTCTAAAATTTTGCAAATTTTAAATCCTGTCCTGTTTGCTTTGTACTCTTATCTTACTAATTTCCTGATAACAATTGAGAAAACACATTTTAAACTTATTTTTTACAGATTGTTGTTTTAGAAAATGGAGTTTTTGCCTTAAATTATTTGGACATGTTTGAGCTTTGTTCTTTGTTGCATGTTTAACAATTTACTGTAGCCAGAAATCGGAACTTTTGTGTGGATAAATTGTTAATCTTAAAGATCTTAATATTCAATTTGGGCCATTTTAAGATCCCTAAAGTAGAGTTATTCCTGGGATATCAAAGAGGAATTTATCCTTATCTCTGCTGGGGTACTTGAAAACCAGGATATGCTGCGGGGGAGTCAAACCCCCCCCCCCTCTAAATCCCATGTTTGATGTCCAAATATGACAAATGATACATCATTGGAAAGCTCTTGTGCTCTACTTTTAGAATCTGCAAAAAAAATTTGCAAATTTGCAAAAATCTAATTTTTTATCGCAAAATCCAGTTATATAGTAAAAATGTTTGCAAAAAAAATTTGTCCAAAAAATGAAAAATTATACATTTTTTAAAAGCCCTTAACCATGCCATTTAAAATATGCAAAAAACTTTGCAAAATTTTAAATAACCTGATTTTTAATCAAGAAAAACTAAAAATATGCAAATTTCCTTTGACAGGTTGTTTGCAAAAAAAATTGCAATTTTTTTTCACAAAACTTGTGCAATTCGTTTCCTTATGTCAAAGGCTTTCCAAAAAGCTAAACTTTATCAAAATCTGACAATTGGAACTGGGTCAAAGCAAAGATTTAGTTTGTTACAGGCAAAAGCAGTCATTCAGGCAGTGTGCCTGAGGACTCAGGCAGTTAGTATTAAAGCCCGGTTTTAGGCCTAAAGGGAGGGCTTTGGGTATGTAGGAAAAGTCAGAAAATTTCAACAGCCTCAGACTTTTTGAGTTATGTATTAAGACATAATGATTATATCTCTAGACCCTATGATGAATGCGTAGAGCAAGTAAAAACTAGACTTAATAAGAAATAAAATTGGAATAATAGTAATAAAAATGTAATTAGACAATTTCTAAATGTTCTATCTTATAGCATGGAGAAAGAGTATACTGCAGTTTGTTGGTACAGTTACAATATGAATATGCTAACGGCTACACTTTTTTTCTTAAAATATATAATATTTTTCTTTCTAAGAATAATTTTGAAATCTGAAGACCAAACTCTCAAAATATTAATCTAATATACTCTATAGAGGAAGCACACTGCTTAGCATTCTGATGAAAGGAAAGTAAAGTCCAGTGAATTATTAAGATGATTGTATCATAAAATTACAGGCAGGCAGTAATAATGCATCAGTAATGACACATCTTTTATTAGATTTCAGGAACATTTGTGTAGCAACGCCATGGTTTGGTATGGTGCAACCTTTGTTATGGTAGTCGCAATTATTATTGCCAACCGCCCGGCGTCGGTAAAGTTAATACTATATATTGCAAGAAAAAATAATTTAGGTTCTATCCCCATAATCAACAAACAAGGGTTTGTTAATTCTAGAAGTGTGATAAAAAAGAAATTGCTTTAACTTGGAAATATTGTATATTCGTCTATTATTCCTTGTAGAAAATATATAGTACATAACTATAAAGCAAATAATGTTGGTAGTTTCGATAT